AACACAGTGTATTAGTGTGTGTGTACAGTCCAATGCTGTTTTGTATGTGTGTGTTTGTGTGTGTGTAGATGAGATATATTGGACAAAGAGTTGAAATCATGATCTGTTGTGTAAATCACCACAAAATGTTGTGTGTCAATATTATCCTTGTACACTGCAACAATGGAGTTGATGCTTCAGTGTTACTGGCATTCTTTGTGAAAGACACTTGACTATGAATTCCCTCACCATTACGTAAAAAAGCCTCCACACACACGGGGCAGAATATCTTATGACAAAAAAATAAAGGATTGCTGAGTGATATTTACATCATGATATTGTGTCACTGAGATGGGGATGAGAGACAAGAACTGAAATCAATAAACTGTGCTGTTTGACAAATAAATGCAGATATTGTGTTCATGGAAATCTGTGGAACAACACAGAATGATTTTTGGCCTCAACAATTAAAATTAATAGCTTGTGTCACGCTTACTGAGTTATGAGAATTTTTGGTCAAATTGTGTTGAGCAGTGCAAGAACATTAAGTGAGTTAAAGGAGCCTTTTCCTTTCACACAGAGATTACGACACTGACAGCTGACATCTTGTAGTAAATATAGAAGTGAGGTCAGCCTGGTGCTTTTCACTGAAGTATCATAAGCTCACCACAACATATTTCTCTGTCCAACATGTGCGTTATAAACCACACAACCTTGTGCTTTATTAGGGCATTTGACTCTGCAGACATGAAAGCATCATCACTTTCATGACACACAAGTGAAGGTAATTTCTTAATCCTATCTTTATTTCAGTATTTGGATAATTTTTTCAAATTTTTTATGATTATGACAATTCAAAAGCAAATCAAAAACAAATTAAATTAAATTTGCCATATTTTCACATCCAACCACATTCACGGTTTTAAGTGAGACCCTTAACAACATGTGGCCTATCATTCTGGTAACTGTATGTAAATGAAATAATTAAGCAATTAATGAATTAATATAGTGTGCAAATGTATTATCATTATTTCCCTGATATGTGATCTGTAATTAATCACATGATTTATTAAACAGGAAGCACAAAACCCTCAAAAGTCTTTAGAGTCTTGAGGACGACTTGATGTAAAATACAGACAGAGGTGAATAACACCTGGATCTGCAGGGCGGTGGGTGTGGGAGGTCTCCCTCTGATCAGGCTATAAGAAGTGGAAACTCCTCCTCTTGTTGGAGCAGTTGATGTATGAGTGAGTGTTTGTGTGCATGTGTGTGTCTGTCTGTGATAATGGCCCTGTTCATGGATCCAGACTTCTCTGTGCTCAAGCAGAACCAGCAGAAAGACATGATGGATTTTAAAGCGTTATTTGGAGAACAGGATCACTGTAAAGGTAAGTTATTATTATGATGATGATTATCATTAATCATTTTAGAGTGTATAAACATGGGTTGTTATTAATAGTTGTATGTATAATAATAATATAAAAAACTTTATATATATATATATATACTACTTTTTAAAAACAGAGTTTACAAAGTGCTTTGACAATAAAGCAAGAAAAGTAAATTAAGACTTGAACAAGTAAAAGCAGTAAAATGTCCATATTGTTATTATTTATTTTCTATAAGTGCATGTTCTGCTATCAAAATTCAATGAATCACTGATAATGAGACTCTTTTCAAAGATATATTTATCTTAATAATAATTACATCTACATAAAATATTACAAAATTAAAATTACTTTTCGTTGTGATGATACTTATTAATATTCTTGTGACACATTTTGAAGCATCTTCGATAAACATGACGTTAATCAAACAAAAATGAATAAAAGCATAAAAATATCCTTTAAAAAGCCAATGGGCTGAGCATCGTAAAGCCTACCGTGTGCACAATTATTACACCACCTGAAAATATAACTTTAACATAAAATGAATTCAAGGTGCTCTTTTTAATTTGTAAAATTAATTATATCATTTAAAAAAAAACAAAGAACAATTTCATGATTCATTTGCAAAATTGTTTATTTCAATCGCCTGCAAGCGCCTTAAAACATGTCCTCGCCCATCGACCGTCTCCTGCCTCCTCCTGCTTCTTATATTGGACATCATGCAGTATTTCATGTGATGGCTACCTGTGACAGTGTCCCTCTCCTGTGTGGGCTCGGTAGAAGACGCCGGGTCCTCTCCGGAGCCGGAGCGCGCCGCGGGCTGCCTGGAGGCGCAGAGGAAGAGGAAGAGGACCATCTTCAGCCGAGCGCAGCTGTCGGAGCTGGAGCAGGCCTTCAACGTCACCCCGTACCCCGACATCACCCTGAGGGAGAGGCTGGCTGCACACACACACCTGCCCGAGAGCAAGATACAGGTCCGAAACCTACACTCGTACATTTACTAACTGTATTAAAACATTACAGGTCGTTGGTGTGAATAATGAATGTTGCTCATCAACTTCTTCAGTAGAAGAAATACTGTTTTTATTCACATTTATATTTGTGTATTTATATATTAAGTGGCTGTGATTAATATTTGTACAGGCTGCTAATTACTGATTAAACAACTATACTTGCTGGTTTTATTTTTCAGCTTTAACATTTCTGGTTTATGTTTATTTCCGCTGTCACTCGTTGACATTACTTTGGGTTTGAATATCGACCTCAAAACCTGAGAATGACCTGAGCCGTGCATTACTTTGCTGCATGAACGAGGGTGAAACCAAAAGTTAACTTCACATGACCCCCATTTTCCACAGGTGTGGTTCCAAAACAGAAGAGCCCGAAGTATCAAGACCGGCCGACTCCCCAGGTCTGCCACCAAGCCTGTCCAGGGAGGGAGTGTTGCTGCGGAGCCCTCCCCTGCACCCATGACCCCCATCTTCTCCACCCCAGCCACCCTGCAAGACATATTTAGACAAGAGCAGAGCCACCACTCTGAGGACGTTCCGCACATGTACTCCGACTGGTTCCAAATCTACAGCAACCCCGTATCGTCCCCGCCGTCCTCCTCAACCCTCCAACAGCAGCCCAACACCCAACATCCGGCCTCCTCCAAAGCCTCAGAGCCTCGTCCCTGGGAGGAGGAGCACCACCGACAGCAGCACTTGACCCCAGCGCTCCCTGGATTTATTCCCAGTTCATTTCCCCAGCCCATCAGCCGGCAGCCCCACCACTCCGCCTCGGCCCGCTCGTATCAGGCTTTCAGGAGCTTCAAGCCCCAGAGCTTGGTTCCAGCTGGGGCTCACCAGGCTATGTATGGAGGCAGCACTGGAGGTGGAGGACATGCCTCTGTGGACCAGGTAGTCCCCTCTCACCCGCAGCCAGTGTACTGGGAGGTAGCTCAGGGCCAAGGACCTCACCACCATCACCACCACCACCACCACCCGCAAATGGGACCACAGACGTCCATGGGATACATCTCAGACCTGATCTACAACGCTGCTATTGTCACTAACTTTCTTGAATTCTGACTGTGGAGCATTAGCTGTGGGATGTGTTCAATCAACGCTCTCTTTTCTGTCGTGATCCCTTGTACTTGCTTTTAAAACACTCTCTGTGTGTCCACCTTCCCTTCATCTGCTTCAAACAAACCTTTATATGTAGAGTTGTTGTGTTGTTGTTGCTGCTTCATCCTGTGTCATCATTTTCTTACATGTTTTTCAGATATGTGCTGCACAATTTAGGGAATAAATTGATTTTATTTCACCCCAGCCATGAGTGGAATCTCTCTCTGTTCCGAAACCCACACATTTATGGTTTGTATATATTCTCAACAACGATCTATATTTCCCATTTCTGTTGGTAAAACCATGATGGAGGATCGGACGAGAATAAATAAATAAAAGAGAAGAGAGAGAGCCATGTGTGTGTAGCACAGTACTCGTTGCTGTCTGTGTGTCTGGAGTCTAACATTGATCATTTCTCTGAGAGAAGTCATCATATCAACCTACAACTTGCCTCCTCCGTGCAAACACTTTTGTTCGTGGCAAAGATTCTTATCACAGATGCCAGCCCCTGTTTTCCTGCTCTAAGCTGAACCATGGCATGTTTAATGCTACGACCCCCCGTGTATTATCTTTCAAAACATCCTGATTAAAATGATTCCTTGTGGTAATATATCATGACAGGAATAATTATTTTCTGAGTCAAAATATATTTTTCATATCTCTCTGTACTGTAAGTATCAGGACAGTTAGATGGACAGAAGGAAGAAAGAAAAAAAAAAAACTAAATTAAAGCCAGAGCTCAGGGTCTATCAGCTTACAGGCTCTGTAATTCTGCCTGGATTTACGTTTTGAAATATTACATGAGAGGTATAATACAGAGGCAGATATGACAGACAGTGGTGCCCACTGTTCATCCAGCGCTGGATAGAGATCTCTGCATATCATAATCATCTTTAATACCAAATAATCTTTCAATAAACCTTTAATCCGGTGTCAAATCTCAGATCTTAGAAAGATACTTTTATTTTGTATTCCAGATGTAGTTACATCTTTTAATCCTACCACTGATAGGACGTGACTTGACAAGAGGAGGATGGGATAGTTTACAAAAAATATGAAGTCATATCTGGAGCGAGGATCAGAGAAAAGCGATTATCTAATGTCATACTGGAATTGTCTAGAAATAAGAAATGAAGTGTTATTGTTCTGGGGATGTTAAGTCTTTTTTTATCATGGCTACTGTTTGTTTTTTTTAAGTTGGCTCTGTAGTTCATTTCTAACAGTAAGCACTTATCAGCAGACAATTAATTCCACATCTGTCAGACGGATAATAAAATCGTTCAGGAACTGATGAAGACGAGTCTTAACTGCAAAACTAGCATAATAAATCAAAAACAACAAATAGCGACCCGACAGCCCACGATTACCTTAGAGGCACCAAGGATGTCATAAATAATAACTGTTAAAATACATATGAGTCTCACTGTTGTTTTAGAAATGGCAACCGAAACCTACTGTTCCAAGTTGCTTTGGGAAATTGCTGTTTAACCCTGCAAGAAGGGAAAGCAAGGAAAATGAACTTCAATTTACAATTTAATGGATCAGCTTCAGTCACCACTGATGATTTTATTGAACACGACAATATAATTACATCTGAGAACAGAACACAAGAACTCACAGAAACATTAGCGGCACTCCATTTTTACAACGCAGTGCCAAGGAGAACGAGGGAGACGAAAAACTAAAGTTTGTAGTTTCAGGAAAAAATATAAAATACCTGTAAATAAATAGAAAATATGACTCATATTCAGATTTGATTTTAAAAGCGTGAACCATTGGAATGTCAGATGAAGCAGATTTATTTCATTAACAGATATTTAGTTATTTTTCAATCAATTTGCTTTCATGTAATTTTCCAGCCTCCCTGTAGTGCTACTAGTGGCATTCATTCTTAAATTTTCAGTAACCTCATCCGGCCAAATTTCCCTTTCCTTCCCTCGAATCCAGATATTCTGACCTGGCCGGGTTTTGCTTACAAAGATCACTGTTTCCCTCATTCGTTGTGCAGCGCTGCTATGGTTCTCCTAGATCTCCCTCCATGGTCCGGACCAGGACGTAAAGCTCAGCCAGACCGACGACTGATGCAGCGATGACAGCTGATATCACTCTCTGAAAAATACGAGCACAACAACACAGTTGATTTTTATCACAGGAGAGAGTCGATGCTAGTTTGTGTCAACTGCACATATGATGTTGACTTGAACTCATTCAACAAACCTGGTTTTACAGCCTGTGGTGTCATCAATGAATACGTTCTTCATTGTGGATGTGTTGAACTTGTTAACTTGTGTTATGTGTTGTTTCTCATTCAAGAGATGTTTCAGATAACGTGATAATTATTAAAATCAACCTCCGTCAGTATAATTGTGGAGGTGAGGGGGCGGGGAGAGCACCTTCACCTGCACCAGAGGACCGATCAGCGCAGGTGAGAGCTGTTCGCTGATTGATCCTCAGTTTAAAGGCAGCGGTCGAGCTGCCTCACAGATGAGGACACTCAGAGACACACGAGGACTGAGACGGTGAAGACACAAAGACAGTCACGGAGAAACGGAGCTGAAAAGCTCCAGCTGAAATAGCTGGACCCTTTAAGTTAAGTGTATTTGTGAATTTAGTTTTGATTTAATAAAGCACAGTGAAATGTTGAAGTCTGAGTGGTGTGTCTCTGGCTGCTGTGGTGAGAGCCCTGAAGCGTGGTCAACATGGTCAACTGCCACAATAATGCTCTGACTTGATTAAACACATCTGAGATGAAGTGTCCACAAAAACCAGGTATGACAATGATTGTACGTGTACTATTCATTACATGGATGTTGTATTAGATTGCTATGAATTTAGATCGGTGTACCCATAGACTATACAAAGCAAGCTAACTTGCGATTGGTCGTGCATGTGTACGCTCCAAATACCCAAGCGTTCGTATGCAGGGTATTTTTACTTCATTTCTAGATAGTGGGAGGAAGTGGAGACATGTTTTCTATCTTTGTATACAGTCTATGGATTTAAAGTGACAAAATGTGTGTTTACCGCTGTTGTCTCAGTGAACAGGTACTGACTGCCCATATATGAACAGGCAAAGGTGGCAACCACTGTGACCAGGAAGTTGAATACGGTTACCACCACAGCTTTGGCTGATCGCACTGCAGAAGAAGAGAGGTTCTGTTAATGTGAATTTCTGAACTTCAGACACAAAATGAATTCAGCTGATGTAAGATAATGAACATGTGACGAACCTTCCCGTCCAAAATCTGCTAATGTTGCATTTCTGTTAGTTTCCTGAAGAAAGTGAAAAATATTCAGAATATTAATTACAAAGAGCAAATCTTTATTGTGTGTGATGGGAGAACTAGTCTGCTACAAAGATCAGTCCTGTACACACACACCCCATGTCATCATGTATAAATCTGACCATGGAACTATGTGTCCTGATTCTTTAAAATCATCATCACTGTGTTATTGACTCAAACAATGTGATTATGTGTCATTTAAACTACAAGTGGTTGTAGAAATGCTGAAATGGAAAATACATGAGCTTATAGTTTCTTTGTTTTTGTAAACATCCCTGTTTTTAAATCAAATTTTTTTAAATTAAAAATAAATAAATGATAAGACTTCTACATTTCATCATATATAGTGTTTAAATTATACAATCCCTGACACTATCAGACACTCTGATACATTTACCCAGAAACATAATTTTAATCTTTGAGGAGTTTTACCTGAGTGTTGACATTACGTGTGATCCTACTGTATTCCTCATTGGCCAGTTTGGTTTTGATCTTCTCCAGACGTGCGACCAGCTCAGGGTTCTGCAGTTAGAGAGAAACATCAGACTTTACATGATTCCAGCTGTGGTCCTGATCATAGAGGTTCAGTTTCAAACAGGGTTCTCTCACTTTCCCTCTCAAAGGACTACACAGCACTCATGTTGGAACTGGTGCTTCACAGTCACTAAAACTAGCCTCAAGATGTTGTGTGCTACTTAGATAATACAAGACAAATAATATTCTTGTTTTTACTGCAACCTGTGTATTTCAAATGTCAACCACAATTGGACAACTTAAGATTTAAGATAATAATTTAGATTTAAGGCAATAATTATTTTATCACAACTAACCCTAACAGCTATAACAGACATGAACAAGATGTCCAACATGTGCATGGCTTCACTTACTCTGGGAGGCTTCACAAACTCAGGCAGGTGCAGCGAACTGTCTTCCAACAACTCATGCAGGTAGAATGGATGCCCTGAGGAGAAATGGTCATGAGAGATGTTTTCAGTAAAATACTGACACTATAAGTGTCTGTGAGCAATTTTAGAAATGCTATATTTATAAAATGTAGTGTTATTATCATTGTTAGGAATTAATTTGTCTTTGTTCAAGAAAATCTTGTCTCTGCATCATAGTACAAATGGTGGTTATTATTATGTAATGTAGTTATCATACATTCCAAACCCCCAAATTGAAATGATTTAGATTAGCTTATACTTTCATGAATCAAAGGTTAATATTTTTTAAATTATTACATTGTGGTCCACAGGGTTCAGAGCCACATTTAATGGTTTTCTTCTTCAGTCAGTTGTTGAGTAAAACTATAAATATATTCTTATACAAAAACACACCCAGAAGGAGCTCATTGTCTCTAGTTTGCACAGTAATTGAATCATCTATCATGTTACTATAATATATATGATGCAGTCAGTGTAATAAACATGTAAACACATGTCATTACCTTGGTCCTGGAGGAATCTCTTGAGTTTTCTTGCTGTGCTGAAGGACAGGGTCGCCGCCTCTGTTTTCCCCAGGATCTCCTGCAGCTCTTCTCTCAGAGGATGCGGCAGAGCTGAGTCTGTGTTCTCTAATAACTCTGTCACCTTGTCCCTGAACTGATCCCCGACCACAAACGACGAGGCCATGGTTCTGATCCAGGGGAACCTGACAGGGAGGTCTGACTGTACTTATCACCAGGTGAGTTCTCAGTCAAATGAAACCTGTCTGAGGTCAGAAACTAACGATCACACCGCTGCCTGCACCTGTTCCACATTAGTAAACAACGACACGGAGAGTTTGAACGCTAACAACAAGCTACAGCTACAAATATTACACCCAGTGAGCGGCCATGTTGTTTATCATGTGACTCGATGACGTGTTCGCTCACATGACCAACCGTATGACACGTTATATTAAAAACACTCATTTTATTATTATAACTTTTTAATCTTTATACATGTTTGACGTTTATTGAACATCAGAATATAATAAGAATAATTTTTTAATTATATTTATTTTAAACGTTGCTCGTTACACGTGAGCTCTTTTGGTGCGTTCAGGGTTTCTTCAGACGGTCGTAAAAGCCAAGAGTTGAAACGCAATAAAGTGTGTTGCTAAGAAAAACTACATTTCAATTTAAACAACAGATTTTTGGACGACGTGCTTTGTCACTGCAGGATATAACATGTATTATTAGTAATTAATATTACAACAGTAATACCACTAATAATAATTATAAACAGTACATGTAGCACATTTCAAAGAACAGTTGCAAGCTGCTTTACAAGTTAACATTAAAGGCAAACAATAGGAAACAGTTTTATAAAAAATCAAACAATACGGAACAATTAAAAACAACTAAACAAGCAAATTATGAAAAATGACCAGTCGGTTATATTCGTTAAAATTCTAGAAATTACGACTCCTCTGCGGTCCCGTGAAAGCAGCTGGAGTGAGGCCCGTGTGTGTGTGTGTGTGTGAACGTGGGATGGTGTCAGGGCAGCAAAGATGGCGGCCTCTGCGCTCCGCCGCGGCTTGTGGAGCACCGTCAGTAAGTACAACAGGAAGCACGGCCACAGAATACTGAGCGTGGCGGACAGCAGCGGCGGCGGCTTCGAGGCGTTCAGACAGCGGCCACAGTGTCGGAGCTGCGGGCTGAGCGGAGGAGCTCCGCCGCAGAGGAGGTTCATGTCGTCACGGTGAGAGAGGCGCAGCGAGTGCCCTGTCCTGCCAATGCTAACATGCTAACGACTTTAGCTAAATGCCAGGTTCTTTTTTTATTTGTTTTTTTTAAAGATGCCCCCCCCCCCTCTCATAAAGACCCTGGGTGTTTTGTGTTGAGGGGGGGGGGGACATGTGTCTGGTGTCCACACTGTGAGCCCGGTGTGGGGACATGAGCTGGTGTGGAACTGTAGAATAACCAGAACACGGGACACTCGTCCTCTGCTGCTCCGCTAAGCTAGCGAGGCACCCGGGGCCGAACTGCATTGTGCAACACCTGCCTCCAGCAGGTTGGATAACGGTGACTCTTGCGCGTGAAAACCAACGTGTGCAGGAGAGTAACGTCACTATCACTGTGAATTCAATGTGATGCAACAATCTGCTCATTATCTAACAGGTCACATTCTTACATGGCGGTGAGCGTATATCTGTCTTATTGGTTCAAGGTCCATGATCGACACTGAAGGATGTATTAGTGTCGGAGCATTTGATTGTTGACATGTCACTTGCACAACAGTGCAACATCAGCCTGTTTGGACCTCGACACAAAGGCCTCACGTGCCACCGAGACCCCTCCTGCACTCCAGTGTGTCTGCTCTCATTTGAAATCGAATCATCGTATATCTATGCAACTTTGAACTAGTGCTGCCATGTAATTAAATGCAGTCTGCTCAGATCCGTGGATGGTTACTCCCAGGTCTCACCTTGTACCAAATAGTGAGCATGCCTTTGCTATCAGAGCCTCCACATTATGGAATTTGCCATTGGTTTGTGGTGGTGTTCTAATTTACACGGTCAAATCCTTATTTTTCCTCATTCTCTAATTTATTTTTTCAAAACATTGATAAGAAAATTGCTTTTTAAAGGAATATATATATATATACATAAAATTATATTACCATGCAGTTAATAGTAGAATATCTGTCTCTGGCCAATCCACTTAAATATATTCAACAAACTCAAACTTTAATTTGTGACGCTCACATAAAGCAGTACCCCAGGCATTTCTCAGAAAATAATTCCATCACACACAAGAATTTCTGTTTAAATTGTAATGGGTTAACTTCTTCTACTAACTGTTCCCAGGGTTCGAGTAAAAACCAAAGTTTCCATGACTGTTTCACACTGCTGCTTCAACAAGAAAAAAACCTTCACAAACCATGACGAGGCATATTTATCCACTCAGTCAGCCTGGACATGTGCTCAGAGCTTACAGACTTAGTGCTATCATTAGTAACATATAAGACACAGTCTCATGTTGACTCTGCACACAACTGATAAATTAGTAATTCAGCTCAGGCAGTTGCTCTAAAAATAGTTAAGGTTTTCCAGCAGGTTTCGTTGTTGTTATGTTGCATATTCTGGGTTTTCACACCATCAGCAGCAGCTTGTGGATGAAAAAAAGCCTTGCCCTAAAAAAGAAAAACGAGTGGGTCTTATTTTTTGTAGCTGCCTTCATCTGATCAACCAGGAAAAGGTGTTAAAGAAATTCGTTCAGAGCGTTACAGTAAGAGAGGCCTGGTGTCGTCTCTGAGAGTGGGTGTGCAGGTGGGCGAGTGCCCCCACACAGTGGATGGAAAGCAGCAGTAATGATCCAGCATTAATATGCATGTCTAACTTTAGTTCATATAACTACTTGATGAGAGCTCGGTGACACAATGACCTGTGTTCAGGGTCGTGTGTGTGTGTCCTGAGCGTGTACATGCAGCTGTTGGCTGAAGCAAGTCCCTGGGCTTGCAATGGGTTTTCTATATTTAGATCTGATTCCGTGTCTACACAGTGTATTGACATTTCTCAGATTGTTGCAGAGGTTAGAACAGAACAGTAGAGCCCATGTCAAAACTGATGACAAGCAACGGTGGCCAGGTGCTGTGTATTGTAATGAAAACTTCAATATCATCATTAACAAATTATTTGCTACCAATGCTCAGATCTTCTTGCTCTATCATTTACATGAATCTGCCTCAAAGTCCGCCCTCTACTCGCCCACGAGGTGTTTATTAGTGAGGTGGAGGTGAGATTGTTCGGTGGCCACAGCAGTGATGTCACTTATAAATAAAATACACTGATACGCTTCTGCTGCTGTTAATACAGTGAGTGAGAGTGAGTACCATAGAAAGAGCCTGAAATAAAAGATGTACTTGCATTTAACCATCATTGCTGCCTCGTGAATCACATCCGTTGGGTGTGTCAGTCGTGCATGTCCACAGGATGTAATATGCACATGAGCAGGAGCGGAAGGAAATGACATCAAATGTCTCCATATCTTTACAAGATGCAAATCTGAAAGGTCCCCATTGTCTGAGTTCTGTGTTCTCTCGTGGAATACTCTAGTAGCACGTGCAGTACAAAGGCAAGAATATCAAATATTTGAAAAAGTTTAAAGTCAGGATTCTGTTTTTAACCATGTTTCTCTGATAAAATCAGGTTACCTAGTGATTATTATTGTTAAAGCCACGATATGAAAATAACCTGAAACTAACCTACAGTGAAATATTAAATCCCTCTGTCCATATATCAACCTCATTAATCCCCTCTCTTCATCTCTGTTGTGAAGATTAGCTTTACAGGAAGCGCAGAAGTATGCATGTTATTTATTTGAGGTGACCAGCTGTTGTTGTCACTGGTAATATGTACTGTAAGTCTCTGTGTGTTGTTGCGAGGCTGAAGCGAGGACACAGAGATTAGGTTGACCGGTAGTCCTGTTTGTTGACATCTGACAAGTGTAGATGTTTTATTCAATCTTGTCAAAGTTGTGATTGAGATTACGACTGAGGAGAGAGGTTAAAGAGGGGCAGCTGAAGGATCCCCCCCATAGGGACGATTAACAGTCGTCTCTATAGGAGGTAAAATCCCGAAGCCTTTTTTTCTTTAAATCTCTTAGATTTCCTGTGTGAGACTCCTCTGGGACTTACAAGTTGTTAATCCATATATGATGTTGTTTTGACCTCACGGACAATAAACAGACCTGCACTGTGGTTTGTGATCACATGGTCATGATCTATAGTCATGTGTGCATGTGTGTAGGGTTTTCCAGTGTGTAATAGTGGTGCCTGTTTTTGGCAGGAACAGGCCTGAGGGGAAGATTTTGGAAACAGTCGGAGTGTTTGAGGCTGTCAAACAACATGGCAAATACGAAACAGGACAAGTAAGACACACACACACACACACACACACACACACACACACACACACACACACACACACACACACACACACATTCTAAAGAAGTAAGTCATTGAGATAAATTTAGACTTGTTTTTGAATATTACTGCTCTGTCCTATGATTTGACAGTGTGGTCTGTTTTGATGAATCAGTAACTTTGTGCACATTTGCATGATCTTGTCAAGTGACTGTAATCCCATCTAATTTATGCTTCACTAAACCTCCTCCATGTATAATCTAACATGGACTTATCCCTTCCCTCCTTGTTGTTTTGCTGTCCTCAGCTGTTTCTCCACAGCGTGTTTGGCTACAGAGGCATCGTCTTGTTTCCCTGGCATGCCCGACTCTACGACAGAGACATCACCCCTCCCATGTCTGACAGGTAAAGCTCCATCTCATGCTGCAAACTGCACCAACCCAGTGACCCTATTTGTGGGTCAGACTTTTTTTTTTTTCCTTTCAACTCAGATCAAATTGTCCGTGTTTCACTTTGTTCCCTCAGCAAACCTGATCCACCAGGAGGCCACGGTTCCAAAGAGGTGAAGGGGAAGACTCATACCTATTACCAAGTCTTGATTGACACCAGGGACTGTCCTCACATAGTAAGTTCCTGTGTAATACGTCATATTAGGTACATCTATTAGGGCTGGGGGGTATATTTACCTTTTATTTTTAAGGAGGGTATAGGATTAAGCAGTGCAGTTTATATCAATACAAAGTGGTGCTGGTGTTTGTATTTCTACTGAGGAGAAGACAGGAGAGTCTCCTCTCTTATACAATCTATGTGCTGCTGCTACAGTCCCCGCTACAAAGCTCTTACATCCATCTGCCTTCAAACAAAGCCGGTTACAGGCTTCATTTTCCTGTGGAAAGAAAAGTGCCAAGTGACGCACGCAATATAACTGCAAAGTCCCACAACTGTAACTTGAAGTTATATAAAGTCTGATATTATATACTCTAATACTAACTGTTCCTCCATAAGTGTAAGTTTATATGCCTTGTATTTGTATAGCTACTTGTCCAAATTGTAATTTAAGTACTTTTTCTGTGTAGATATGAAGTAATCTGAGGCCAAAGTACCTTCTAGAGAACCTTCAGCATATTATTATATTTTTGTTGTGGGATTAAAACTTTTTCTTACCATTACTTGTTATTCATCATCCAGAATAGGCACATGGGAAAGGACAACTGGCTGAAATGGGTTCATATTCATGAAACTATTTTAAATTGTTCATGGTGGTTTTTGCAAAGAGAATGAAGGATTTCTGGTAGATGTCTTTCCGGGCGAGTGGGACTTGGTAACGTCTGTCTGATGTGAGATGTGTCCTCTTACAATAAGCTAGTGGTCTCAGTGTTAATTTCTCCTCCCGTTGTGTTGACAGTCTCAGAGGTCTCAGACAGAGGCAGTAACGTTTCTGGCGAACCATGACGACAGCAGAGCCCTGTACGCCATCCCAGGTATGTAACCATGTAAAAACCGTTTACATTCTCAGCACCACATTTAGATTTCACCTCTTACAGCAGAGTCGAGTTCATCTCTTGTCAGGAGTTCAGCTCCCATACACTATAAATCAATATGTTTTCAGGTGGTTATAATTGTTTTCTATCTCATCCCCATGTGACAGTGTGTCTGCTTCTTTGCTTCAGGTCTGGACTATGTGAGCCATGAAGACATCCTGCCCTACAACTCTGCAGAGCACGTCCCCATCCAGCACGAGCTGTTTGAGCGCTTCCTCATGTACAACCCAACAAAATGTAAACACTCTACCACAGTCTCTACTTCCGTCTTCACACGGTTTTTGACAATGACACTCCCGCGTCCTCGAGAGGTCACTTGACGGAGCTAGATATTGTCAAGTGGTTGAATCTTCACCAAGGGAAGTCAGTGTCAATGTCCAACGTTTTAGTAAATATTTGTGTGTTCTCGTCGTCTTCTGTAGCTCCTCCATTCGCAGCCAGAGACACCCTGAAGGCGTGGCAGGAGAAGAACCATCCCTGGCTGGAGCTCTCAGACGTCCACAGGGAAACCACTGAGAACATCCGAGTCACTGTCATCCCCTTCTACATGGGCATGAGGGTAAATGAATAATACTTAAAAATGTATTTTGAAGCTATTTAATCTTTTTTTAAGCACATCCAGGGCCATGTCAGCAACCACAGCTTGTCTATATTGCATTACAGGACCTGTTGACGGGACCTGATGAAGGATTGCATGTGCTTTCACATCGCAGATTTTATAAATCACTACATGACCTCATATATATTTCCAACACACACTGTTTTTCACTGGCTAATGCAGCAGGATGATGATGTAGAGAATACACTGTATAAACAACTGTTTGATAAAGTTAGCTTTAAAATGATAAAACTGCTCAGCCAGGGCTCCTCATGAAATCAACAGACATCTTACATAAATCTAAAATCATTTTCCATTTTGAATACACCTGTTTTCAGTAGCACTTTCAAACCCTGCATCGTTGGTATTTTTTTCTGCCGATCTGTTTAATGTTTTGATGACGTACTTTTCTCTGAGAACCATTCAAACACTAATTGAAATATTTTCTTCTTCTCAGGAGGCCCAGAACTCTCATGTTTACTGGGTGAGTAGTCTGGGCAATATTATGTATAATGAGCCAATAGGACACTGACATTTAGAAATGAACAGGATATACTTCATGAAGAGTATTAAGCCTGAATATTAACATGCTTCTGTGTGTTGTCCTCTGACAGTGGAGATACTGTATCCGTCTGGAGAACATGGGCAGTGAGGTGGTTCAGCTGAGAGAGAGGCACTGGAGGATCTTCAGCCTGTCAGGAACTCTGGAGACGGTCCGAGGACGAGGAGTCGTGGGCAGGGTCAGCACACACACACACACACACGTACAGTGTCAGCACCTTTTTAACCAAGTGAATCCGGGTTTTCCGCTCACTTTAACCTTTTTAGTTCTACAAAATTGCACCTGGTGAAACACGTCACTTATACTGTCTCTGTGTTGTTACAGGAGCCAGTGTTGTCCAAAGAGCAGCCGGCCTTTCAGTACAGCAGCCACGTGTCTCTACAAGCCCCCAGTGGTCATATGTGGTGAGTTTGCTCATTAATAAATCACTTCATTGTTTCACACAATCCACATATGCTTCACTTTCCTCATCTTCTCAGTGATTAACATTTTTGATTGACTGGAATCACTGGTCACCTCCTATGTGCACAATGTTCACTCCTCTGGTTCTGTATTTTTGTTCAGGGGGACGTTTCGTATTGAAAGGACTGATGGCTCCCACTTTGATGTTCGCATTCCTCCTTTCTCCCTGGAGAGCAACAAAGATGACAAAGCGCCCCCCGCTGGCTACACATTCTAACTGCGAGTGGTCGAGGACCAGACACGCCGTTAGTCCTGGACACGCCTGGGTTTTCTAGAATTGTCCTCCCTCTGTAACATTGCCTCAGCCTTCAGCGTCAGCCTAGCGGGAGTCAGGTTATGCAAATGGAACTAAAACATTTTCTCAGCCCACCTTGCCCCTTTTCTGTCTGAGTGCACCCAACAGCAGTATAACGTTTATTAAATCGTATATAGAGTAGAAAATGGATGCGCCTTCACTCTGTGATGTGTTTGAAGACGTGCACAGTGTAGTGGATGGGAAGTGGGAGACAGGGAGGAAGAGTTAGGGCTGGATACCTCACATCCACCAGAAAGCAGTTTTTGAGGCGGCCCTCGATAATCCCATCTGCCCCACCACACTTTCATAATGACCCGAAGTTGTTTTTTGTTTTTTTTAACCCTTCATATCATAAAATCAAAGGTCGCTAACTTTGTGTTTTATGCCATCGCTCTATAGTAGAACTGTTTTCAGAGCTCTTTGCCCGGCTCTCTCTTTCTCACAGTCAGATCAGCAGGGCGTGTGAAATCCTGCCATGTTGGTAGCCATCAAGTAAATCCATCTAAGTTCTGGCTGTCCTCAGGCTTTGCATAACATTCCGCTTTAGCTGTGTTGTTCTTTCCACAGCCATCCAGTTCTCAGTGGGCAGGCAGACCTCCACATACCCTTTATGTATCTCGCTGATGTGCAGGAGCGTTTACTGCATACAGATGTTCAGTTGGCTATCACAATAATCTCCCGCCCTGCAGCTACCACCACTGTTGTAAACAAGCATCCCTGAAGTTACATGTTAAAAACACATCCTTCCATAGATGTTGAGATTTATGAAAACATTACATGACTTTTGTCCTGGACCCCGTTTTCCTGTCATGCTTTCTCAGCATAAAACTATACCATCACACATTAGACTTATTTGGGACACTCACGAGGGGGACACCTGAATTCAGGAACAGTTACAGTGCAGAGGCGTTTATGTCTGACAACACTGAAGCACAGTGGATTAAGTTAGGATTTGTTTGAACAGAAAAAGATTCTTAAATGTCAAATTAAATAGCTAGAATGTTCAATGCATGACACCTTGAGTCTGTGTACAGAGGTTTGTTTGTGATTTGTGGTTTTATTTTGAAGCCTTCCAGGACCTGCTGTAAAGTAGCATCTCTATGCTGCCACCAACAGGCTTGATGCTGTAAACACGTCTTAATGGGTCAATGGCACAGATGGAAATATTCTCATGTTAGCTACCAGTGAGCATTCTCCTCAGAGGAAAGCTTCAGATGGGATTGAGGGCTGATGAGTTTATTCAATTATAGTTCAATGACTTTGAACGTTAGCTGTTGTGAGACACCCATGTTTTTTTTTTCTTCAGCTCAAAGTTGGGTATCAATCATTGTCATGTTTTAGAAAAAATAGTGTGTCACAGATAAAGTAGTTAAAACACGATTGATTCATTTTATATTTGTCCTTAATTTAGATTTACACATCTGGTTCATCTTTGACATTTAAGTCCTATTTTGTTTTTTCCAGTGCTCCTAACTAAACCCAGTGATTCAGTGGTGAGTCAAAAAATTGAAGGAAGGCTGAAAACATCAGGCCAAAGAGTGGAAGTCAGGTTTTCATTTTCTTTAAATAGCAAAACACCACACCATAAAGTAATTAAGGCGAGCAGTGGGCAGCCAGTGTTGTGGTTAACTGGAGAAGTGAGTGTGTGACATGTATATCTTCCTCTCTGCTGTCTGCTCCTTTGTAAAAACCTGAATGTCTTTCGTTGGGGCTGATTGTTTGACTTTGCAAGCTCTGTGACGAGAGAAGTAATGAGCCTGAAAATCCTCACCAGAAGAGTGAGAACACAAAATAATGTTTTGATAAGTGATTTGAAGCAACTTAAATGGTTGAAATACAACTGTAAATAGAGATGTAATTAAAGGCTACACAAATAAATATACCTTTTGAAAAGTACTGCTTGATATTTGTTGCGTCAAGTTTGTCTTCTCAGCATTTACCTCCAGAGCTAACATCTGGCAGACTTAAACATCAATCAATAAAACCTTATGTGTGTAGCCTGTATTTATAAATCACAAATGTGCAACATCCTCTGTCCTCAACCCTCGAGGAAAGACTACCAAAAAAATGTGGGGGGGGGGGGGGGGGGGGGGGGGGATGCGGTAAGCTCAGGGAGGGTCACATGTGAGGGATCCCTCTCTCAACTGATGTCAACAAAAACAAGAACATAACAATCAGATACAAGAACAATATTTTCACTGTGCTTAAACAGGATGGATTGTTTCATAAAACAATTCAATCTTATATGCAGTTAATAGTTGAAGTTAACTTTCATATAGTGCTTAGATATATATATATATTGTGATTCTCAAATGATGCATTATATTTTCTGTATTGATGCATGTGTTCCAAACAGTCACCACCAGATGTCAGTGTAGTCTTTCCCTGATCACTGCCTCACTAAAGATCTCCTGTGTGTGTGTGAATCTAATGATGACATATTAATGCAAACTTAGTAAACATAGTTTGTATTTTATCTCTTATATAAATGATCACATCCACATATTCATGTTTGAATGTAACTTTTAATTTGTCACCTGCAGTTGAAACGTAAAGATATCAATAACTTTTCAATCAGTAGATAAGACTGAACTGTGCCTTGTTCTTCATACAAGAGACAGAGATCGATCTGGAAATCTGTCAGTTTAAAACTGGGAAATCCAAAACCATTTGCAAATTTGTGTGTTGCACTAACTTTGATTTGTGATGCAGAATCCAGTACGCAGAACAACGACTGCTTAAATTGTTAACTTAAAGTAAAGCTGCGGATTCCTGGTCCACTTCCAACAATTTGCATCAGACATGAGCTAATTACTTTTAAACTGAACGACCAAAATAAAAACTGATATTACTGCAACACACTTCATGCCGATTTTTCCGGAAGACTTTAAGAGGATTTAAGAAATAACGAGTCGTCCTGATGAGACACGTGCAGCACTGTCAGAGTTATTTATTTAATATTATCAAAGGATATTGGTGCAACGTGGTGACGGAGATCAAAGACAAACGGTAAACTTGACTCGTGCTCTCTCCGCCCTCCCCCAGTCCGCGAGGAGGAGGAGGAGGGAGAATTTTTGTGCTCACGTGCACTCGCTGCGCGCGCGCCCCCCATTCAGCTGAACAGAGGGTGTGATACATAATTCAGTCCCAGCAGCAGAGGGGGGACACCTCAGCCCGTCTCTCCCACCTCCTGTCTGTCTGTCACACCGCGGACGTGCAGCCTCCACACGGTCCAGTCAACCGAGACACCGCCGCGGCCCCAGCCTCCTCCAGGAGCGGGCACAGGGAGCAACCTTGGAGGAAGGACGGACGCTTGTTTGTTGCAGGTAAAGCACATGACTTGTTCCAGCGGCGCAGGGAGGACGGGGCAGAGCAGAGCAGCAGACACTCAGAGGAGATCGACAGGAGACGTAAACATTGCCATGCCCTGCTTCATGCACCACTTCCCTCGATCCGCTCCCTGCTGCCCAGCTCCAGGACAGACGGGTCTGTTCTGAGGGACCCCGGCAGAGCAGAGCGGGAGCATAACGCTGCTGTCGAGGGTAAATATTGTGGTGAAGTTGTGTTCGGGATAGTGAGGAGGCTGTGACGGGCCCCGCTTTGCACTGAGGCTGTCCTGCATCCTGACTTTGCTGTGTCCGTGCTGTGCGGCCATGCTGCAGGCAGCATCCTCCGACCTGTTCCCGACTTGAGCTGCACCATCCGGGATAAACAAGTTCCCCAGAAGGCAGAACAACTACTGCAGCTGCTGGCTCATGTTTCCGCACCATTGTTTTTGTACCACTCTTTATTGTAGCTGAGTGCAATGACATTCTGTTGACAAGCAGTTTGGAATTTGCCCACAATGCTTCACATCTAACCTCCAATCTGCAGATGTAAGGGAGAGGTGATCAGACATTTTCACGCACAGAGTATCTCAGACACTAATCGAGCCTGCCTCTGTATGAGGGACCAGTCTTGTTGTCGTCACTGTTCACAGCTGATTAACGCAGCACCATGGGTGCTAAGCAGACCAAAGGCCAGGAGCCTGGAGGAGCCAGCCCTCAGCACAGCTGGAAGCGGACACCCACCAAGGAGCGGGGGGACATACTGGCATCCCTCATGCTCAAGTCCGGGGACCGGCTGAGCCGTGGTGGGACGCCACCGCCTTACCAGCGCCGCATTGGCATGATCCAGGAGATGATGCTGATGGCCAAACAGGGCAAGCAGGACGAGGCCACGGAGATGCTCAGGACACTGAGACAGGTAACTGCTGTGTGTGAGCGTGAGTAAAAGCTCTGAGGGGTCAAAGGTTCATGTTTCTACATCCCAGCCTCCCAGATTTCCTCTCCTCTGTTTCCTCTCCACTCTGTGTAACAGTGCTGCTTCTCCCTCGGCTGTCATCAGTAATCCTGACACACAAACCAGGCTGACGCTGACTAAACTGATTCACACACTGACTGACTGCCTTCATACCTGATGACTTGATCGCCTCTCCAATATAAAATAAGATGACATTCACTTGTTACAGCAGCAGATATGACTGAATGAATGAGAAGAAAAGGGCAATAAAACAAATGTGGAATAATATAATATGATATAATTGGTATATGTTATGCAGGACATTGTGCAAGACGACATTTTCATAAAAACAGTGCAAGTAATGGTGACCAGCTGTGAAATGGAAAACAGTGCAGCATATCCTTAACATTGTCAGCGGTGTAGTCTGACGACAGAGGGAATGAAGGAGCTGTGGAAGCGTCGCTCTGCCTGTGTGACTGAACATGAGAACCTCTGGCTGCACGACCGGCTGGTCGGACCTGTGCTGCTGAGCCAGACTCTGCTGCACTGGTACAGTTTGGAGACGGCCACGATTTATAGCCTCTCTCTCTCTGTGTGTGTGTGTGTTAAGTCATTTGCAGGGTTTGGCTGCTGCTGCTGCTGCAGTTGCTAAAGAGAGGAGGGGAAACTCAATAGCAGACTGAAAGAATGTGGTGGAGTGGGAAAGAAAAAGGGAAGGAGGGAAATGAAATGCCAATAGTTGATTTGTGAAGCTATAAAGAGAGAGAGGATCTGAGTGTCACATGAGTGGAATCATGAAAAATGAATATGCTTTTCGTTGTGAAAAGAAAGAAAGAAAGAAAGATTCGCTAAAAAGACAGAGGAGAGAGAAACAGGTTTATCAGTTAGCTCATTGGACAGCATCACATACAGTGGATTCCATATGCTGCCATTGTTCACTGTTTATCCCCCTATGACTCAGCCACAGGGAACAGCGCCTCCAGCTAACACACACACACACACACTCACACACACACACACACGCTGCTTTCATAGTTTATTGTTTGGCTTTTGAAGATTTCCATTAGTTCCTTTCTGATCAAATCCCTTCAGGTTGTTAATCCGTGAAGCAATAGTAAACAGTGGAGCAAAGCAAACGGGCTTAAAGACGCAGGACACATCCCCATCCATCATCATTCAAACAGAGGGATTACTATCTCTGTCCCCAGATCATTAAAGGGATAGTTCACCGAAAAAATGAAAATTCACTCATCACCAAGCACTTCAGGAGTCTCTTCTTCAGACATTAACACAACCGAAAAACGTAACATGCCTCCATACTGCTCGTGTGCTGTCATCCAAGTGTGTGAGGCGAACCTCGGTTTCCAAGACACGACAGCACAGCAGTGAGATTCAAGTGGTCCTCAGTAAACTGCTTTTAAAAGTGCTGTAGAAACTAGATTCAAGACATTAATGGTCACACCGGTTATTATAAGTAGATAAGTAATAAAAGATAGAGCGATGATAATAATAATACAAAATACACAAAAATACAAACAATTACAAAATTCAGTTTCAACTAGAACATAAAATTTGAGTCAAAACACAAACTAAGCCAAATCAAATATAAAACTAACTAACTACTATGTCCTACTTTTGGTTTCCTGTGTCTGTCAGATGCTTTGCTGCTTTTCTTGATGATTTTAAAATTAGGTAACCTGGCGAACGACATAATTTGTTGCACAGAGCCCTCTGGGAAGGCTTCATTGGAAACTGATTGGATGAGGGCAGGTGCTTTCAAAAATCACTTGGCAGGTGATTGGATGAACCATCTGTCTGTTATGGTGGATGCAGCCAATCTGGAGAGGAGTGAACACATTTTCTGCACCAAGAACAGCCATCAGTGATGTTCTTTGGTCTTCATTCAATCAAGAGCTACTTTCCAGTTATGATGTAATCACCATCCATGCTAAACTATTGAGGAGCTGTCGTTTCTCACAATTTGCCTGAACCATTGTTGTTCAGCCAAAAGCAAAAAGCTTTGAGCTTAGCAAGATGGATTCTATCTGGCGTCTTCCTTTTTTTCCACAACTACACACCTGAGACAATATCACTGTGAAAAACATCTGTTCATAGTCCGTCTTGTTGCCGTGATGACATGCACAGACTCACAAGGTGAAAACAATACCAGCTCCCACTGTAGTTGGTTAAAGGTGCTGCGGAACAGTTCAGTTCAACCGTCTTCTTTGCAACCAAAAATATCCTCTACACTGTCAGCTGGAAAAAACACTTAATCACCTTCTACCCAAAAATGTGATTAGAAGATCGCTACAGTTCTTGTGTCTGTGTATCCACTCAAAGAAGAACTGCAAAGTTAAAAAATGCACCTCAAACATCTCTGGCTGCCATTGTGGTGCATGCAGACACAGCAAATATTTCAGTGCTTCTGTAATGTTACTTCTCATTTTACATCTTCAGCTGTAAAAAGCTAGAGGAGCAGAAGTCAGAGGCAACAGGATCTTCTGGAAATTGACAGAGTGAGTGCGATGGACTATCCCGCATGAAATAAAGAGCTACTGTGTGTTTGTACCTATTGGATACATAGCAACCTTCTGGACACATCCACTTAGGTGGACAAGTTAAGTTACTGAAAGTACAGGGGTTTGCTGGGATGAAGTGTTTATAATCATAAGTGGTGGTCATATTATCTGCAGAGTGGGTCCATTGCTGTTGTTATTGTAGCAGTCGGTATGTGGAAGCTGTATTGGTGTAGCTCATCTTCACAAATCACAGTTTGTGTCATAGGGTTTAACAAGGTGCAACATCCTCTGCATTTAACCCTCGAGTGAGAGAGAACAACCAAAAAACCCTTTTAACTTGGAATGAAAGGTAGAAACATCAGAGAGATTCAGATGTGAGGGATGCTTCTCCCAAGACGGACAGAGGGCGTGTAGCAGAGCATGTCACCAAAATAATATTATTTACCACATTGATTAGTTAGAGAGTGTTTAACATGAATTTAGGTTTATTAATGTTTACGGTATTTTTACAGAGCTGGTCCAAGACAGACCTGAACCAGCTCTAACTGTAGCTTTAATCAAAAGGATGGTTTTGAACCAACTCTTCAGCCCAGCACTGGTGTCTGCCTCCTGAACTGAAACTGGGAGATGATTCCACAGAGGTGGAGCTTGATAGCTGAAGGCTTCCTGTTCCTAATTTACTTTTGGAGACAGCAGCACTAAAGATCAACAGACAAAACAGCCCAGTGGATCCGTCATCATTGCTTCAATCATGCCAATCTAGGGAGGACTTAGCTGAAACTCCACCAACATGTTTGGTCCAACGGGAAACAATTTCTCTGAAAATGGTTTACGTCCACATCATTGCTGCTGATTTCTGAGCTCTCACTGTTACTCTTGCATCTGATTGTCTGTTTCATGCTGGTAGGATCCCAATTTAATCTCCCTCGAAATTAAAATATATGAATGAAAGATATTTGATCTCATATTTAGATACTTGACCGTTTTCAACGCTCAATGCGACAGACACACCTCTGAGTATTGAGATGAGACATTTCAGAATTTAGTGAAATGTACTAAAAAAACAAAGCACATCTTTTAACGAGGAGTTTCCAGGTGACAGAATGAGCTCTGCTGCTTTTAACTCAAGCTGTCCAACTACAGGCTGTGTCTCTTTACGTAACCTCAGTGTAACATATTTAAGCTTTGTTTGCTAACAGCCGGTCTCCACTAAAGCAGCAGAGAATTGCAGTGAGCGCCCATTAGCATTCAATGAACTACTCCTGCTGTCATTAAGTGACTTGTAAACGATTTACAAACTTCACAACATCTCACTGCTCCATCAGCACGCCCATTCTTCATATGATGACGTTGACAGTGTTATTTAAGCCCTGAGCGGTATCACTACAAGAGAGAAGGTGCGGTGGTGAACACAGCAGGTCACATGGTTTGTCTATGATCCGTCGGGCAGTAGGCTGAGGTCAAGCCCCTCCGACCTCTGAAGGATTTTTTTTTTCTTGCTGCTGTTTGTGGAGCTGAGGATTAAAGAAGATGAAACATCCACTAGCATGATGCTCTTCAATTGGGTCAAAGTTAGCAATGTGTGGATACACATGTGATTTCTCAGATTGAAGGATAGGCGTGGATTCTTTATTCTTTATAAGCGAAGAGATGGAGGCCCCGACGCCGCAGGAGGCCGGAGGATGGAGGACGGACAGAGAAGGTGCTATTTCAAAGGCTCCAACGCACTCAAGATGATCACAAGTTTCCATGTTGGGTCATGACGACAAAATTGAACAAGCACCGGTGACATAACCATTATTCACAGGTTTGTACCCTGGCAGAACGGTACAGGACGGCAAGACCATCACCAGATGAATTGGATAAAGACAATTACTGAGGAAAAAGAGAGAGAGAGAGAGTGGAGAGGGGGAAAAATCTGTGAGAAGAGGAGGAAAAGGAGAGAGGAAGAAGTGATGAATGATTGCAGAGGCAATAGAAGAGAGTACTTTGGGGGAGAAAGGAGGAAATGACAGAAAAGGAGGAGAAATGTCTGTTAGTGTTTGAAAGACAGAGAGGGCGTTTTTTCTGTAGTTCCCATGTTCTCCTCTCCGTTCCTTGGAAACCATGGCGATGACCGGAGAGCTCAGACTACACAGACCTTGATTAATCACACAGGAGCTCCGTTAAGAGCTAATGGGAAGGCCACCTTCTTAATCACCGCCCATTAATTAACTTGAAACCAAAGCTAGCATCTCTTCACCACTTCCCCCTGGGCTGCCTCGAAACTGATCGCAGAACTTAAACCATCAGTGTCTGTGGAAACCTCCGTCAGCTGTAAATTCATGCTGAGTCCTTCCCTCAGCAATTTTAACTCATCCACTGGTGTGTGACCAGCGTTTGTCACAAAATGAGAGGCGGTTGTGTTGTGGTCGCATTAATATTTTAAGACTGAAGCTGCCATTAGTCTGGGCCTCAGGCACTGTTGTTTTTGACCATAGCTCAAAACCTTGATGCACTTATTATTCATCCTACCTGGTTTATCTGCACTGAATATTTTATAGTCAATAAAATAAAATGACACTTAAATTTTCTTTAGTTGTTCATGTGTGTGGTTTGTATATAAATTGGATTATTTACTCAACCGTTGTTATTTTTGATAGATCGCAGCCATGTGCTAGACGAAGGGTAGGGCCAAGTGTATTGTATTGCAGATGCAGGAAAATTGTTCCTTTTGTAAATCTTAGTGGTAACAATCACACATTAAGAGATCTACAGTCTTACTACCTGTTGATGGCCACCATAGTACCCCAGCTAAAAGGCTTCTCCCTATAGACTAGCATTATATGACACGGGTAAACTGTAAACAAAACGCTTAAACGACACAGGCACAGGAAACCTGCGTGTCATAGCAGAGCAAGCAGAGCGACAGGTGGACCGGTGATTTTTAAATATCACGATGGTGAGGATACACAGGGAATATACCACGAACACGAACGTCATTAATTGTATCTGTGCTTTTGATTCTATGACGAGTTGTGATGTTTTTGGACATATGCTCCAGACAAGATAATTATGGTACCGCCATGAAATGTCCAGCTGTCTGAGTTCCACTGTGATCAGTACATGTTGTTTGGTGTCCCAGTGTTTCTCCGCCGAGCTTCAGCCCTGGGAGGAGGTCTCATCAGCCAGAATAACATACGCACATGAGTGGCTGCACACGGCTCTTTAATAAAGCAACCATTTGTGAAAAGAAATGTATTAAAGTAAAAGCTGCAGTAGTTTCTCCCTCAGACCTTCGATATAAAGACTTCTTATTCACGTATGATTGTATAGCCTCCATCATCATTGTCAGTATGTGATCTTTGTTAAAGGTCAACATCATTTTTATATATGGGTTCTCCTTAGCATGTTGCCGCTCCCTATTATACCAAAGGACCTGCACTTGATCGATTGTTTGATCCATATGTGTCTCCAGCTCCGTCTTTGTCCACGTTCAGCCGCGTTCCGAGCACAGCTTTGATGCTGACCGCTTCTAATTAGTGTGGGTGGTGCTTCCTAATGAAAGAAATGTCTGCAGTGTTTTCCTCTCAGCACAAATGGTTCTGTGTGCATGTGTTTGCACTCAAACCACAATCCCCTCAGAGTTCGAGGAAGTAGACTGTGCATTTTTATTTGGTCGTTTTGGTCATGTATATTTCATGAGGGTCTGCCGTTGATAATGTTAGGCTTTTTTCGGAGGGTGGCTCCAGCAATTTGTCTTGCTACTGTTTCAATTTATCCCATTTTTAATGATTAGTGTTGCAGACCGACCCCCAAACACAGCGTCAGCACTCTGTCGTGGAAATGCTGATTGTGTTTTGTAAAACTTACAGGCTCAGGTTCACATTTCCTTCAGGGATGAGCTATTTGCATCGCTCCTTAAAATCCTATGATGAGAAACACGTTGTGTGCTCCTCTGACACACACACACACACACACACACTCACACTCACACACACACTCCTTTCATACTGGACATGCATGTGGCTACTCAGGAAAGGTGTAGGTTTTTTTCAAAGAATTATAAATGCAAATTCTCATCAATTATTTTAGTAGATTGGTTTTAAATTTTTTGCTGTGAATGAAAACCACTTTCATGTCGGTATGCTCTCGAATGCAACTGGTTAGCTTTAGCTTAGCATAAAGACAGGAAGCAGGGGGGGGGCACTTCTGGCTAACTGCTCTACCTCTGTCTCCAAACCCATCCGCTGTCGTCTCACAGCGAATTGACCTCAAGGGATAACGGCCATATTTTAGAGCTTGTGTTGAAAGCAGATATCCAGGCCAAGGCTGTCTTCGTTAGCTCCACACTGCAACTAGTTAACACGAGTCAAACGTTTCTCCACATAAAACACAAACAATGATACTTTCCGTAGGTGTTTTAGGTCCAGGCGACATTTCGGCTAATCTCCACTAACAGCAATCTGCATATGAATGCAGATTAATTAAAAAGCTGATAGTAGATGCACTGTGTCGTCATTGTGTTCCACTGCTTTTGCTCTCCACACAGACTGTTTACCTGCGGACGAACAAAGCCTGCTCAAACACGATTGGTTAAACTGGAAACAGAAACCTGAAAGCACCAAACGTTTGACCCCTTCCTACAGATTCTGCATAATTACATGCAGAGCTTTCGCTTCATTGTGTTGAAGCTCTGATTGTAAATGGATGAAGCTGCTTTTTTGCTCAACCAATCTTTCAATTACCCAAATTACTAAATTAAAAACTGAAATCTCTAATTAACAAAAGTATTCAGACCCTTTCTTTAATATTTAGTCATACTCACCTTAAAATCGATAAGGTTTGCATGCCTGGATTTCTGGGCAGTTTCATGCCTTGTTCCTAAGTCTGGGTTTGGCTCTGATGTGTCCTCATTGCAGTTTGTGCTTCAGGTCATTGTCTGATTGAATGATCAACCATTGCCCCGGTATAGACTCTGGGTTTCAACAACCTCACTGTATTTGAATGCATTCGTCCATTCCTTAATGTAAATTTAGGATTTTTATGAATATTTACGCTCATTATTAGTTATTGAAAGGAGATTGATGGACACAAATTGGCAGAAATGTCCAATTAAATGTACTGCACAGTATTAAATTGTGCAAAATGAGAAGGGGTCTGTCGATACACCTGTTGATGCACTAATCAAAGGTTTCTCTCATCCACCATGTTGCTATTAATATCAATCTCATCTGAACATACGGCAGCTGATTAGTGTGTGTGTGTGTTTGTGTCCGCCAGTCAATGCTGTGATAATTTACTGCCCCTCCCACACAGAACAATAGACAGCATGAAAACATCAGTGAGTCATACCTTTCTGTAGGAGAGCGAGCATCTCTCTCTCTCGCTCTCTGTCTGTCTCTCTCTCGCTCTCTCTATCTGTCTCTCTCTCTAATCATAGGCCCTGTTGCCACTTAAGTTCCTCTGAATTCCCCAAACATACAAACATATATTTGCAGACACTCTTACCTACAGACTGAAATGCATTTATTTACACACACACACACACACACTTTAATTTAATGCTGTAGGAGGTCAGTGGATTTACAAAGCATCATGGAATATATTAAAGCTTATGTTCCTATGAGGGAATACTGAATATGTTTCAAAGTGAAAGATACATGATGTTATCAACAATTAACATTTTATGTTTGCTGTTGAATTCTCTTCTCGCTCTTCAGTCTTTTCATTTTAATGAAAGCCCATTGAGTTCTCCCATGTGTATGAAATGTAGCTTTGACTGCCTTGTCTATATGAGTGCTTATATAAGTACTGTATGTACAGTTGCATAAGTGAGGGTAAGATGGTCTTATTTAATGTGTGTGTGTGTGTGTTTGTGTGTGTTTGTAGGACTTGGGCATGGAGTCAACGTCCCTGGATGACGTGTTGTACCGCTATGCCAGCTTCAGAAACCTGGTTGACCCCATCACACATGACCTGATTATCAGCCTGGCACGATATGTCCACTGCCCCAAGACGGTAAGACACACATTCACACACTCGTAAAAAAAAACACACACAAAAAAAACAGAGAATAAACACTGATTACACAAAACACAAACACAGACTGATGGGATTCCCTGTGTTGCTGCTATCAGATGATCTCTGGACGGTTTTGTCCGACACTGTTACGTAACAGGAGAAGAGCTGTTGCTATTTGTTCATTCATGTATTCCTGTATGTCACTGAAGGAGGGAGGGAGGGAGAGAAAGTGTGACAGCAGCCATGCTGGATGAAAAATGCATGGAGGAAGGAGTGAAGGAGATTAAGAGAGGAATTAAAAGACCTGATGTTTAGTTGCAGTGTCTTGATTTCTATTGAGCTGCTGCTTCTCCCACTGATGGTTCTGTTAAAATGCTTCGGTGTCAAAAGTCTTTTATGTCTGAGAAACAGTTTCACAGTTTCTATGTTTTTCCTTCCTGCCTCAAATAATCAAATTCTTTTTGTGGATAAATTAATTCTTGTAATATAAACACAGTTTTCCTCTGACCTCACTGGGACCTCATGAATCACCATCTTGAATCCTGAATTAGATGCATTTCCTGTGAGAACAGGATGCTGGAGACACAGGCTTCGTCAGTATCATTAAAGTAATTGGTTCAAAATTTGACAAATTTAACTCCTGTGAAAAAAGAAAGAAAGAGATGAAGCACATGCAATGTTAATCTTAACAAAAACTATGATCAAAACACGTTGTTCAACATGAACTTTAGCTTTTAAATGCAGGATGTCGAGCTAATCCATCATGTCTTCCTAATTAGTGAAAGAAATTGATTGATCTCGGGTCAATTTAGCAACGTGACCCCGCTGCACTAATGAGCACCATTTAGCATTTGTTAACGAGATCTCTGAGCAACAGGTTTACGAAACGAAATTCAACCACAACCTCACTGAAAATGAGATTATCCAAATAATAACGTTGCAAGGTCTCGACCTTAAAGTGACTTAAGACAATATATGTTGTGATTTGGCGCAGTACAAATAAAGATTGAATTTAAATTGCCAAAAATATATAAATATCTGTATAAATATATATATATGGGGGTTCACACACCGACATTTGTAGAAATGTAAGATGGTGGTGATATAACATTGTCAATCATTTGCTGTCAACTCTCTGTAGCTTTGGTACAAGTGCAGATTCTTGTCGGTGAGTGGTTAAAAATAAATCTTCTTGTAGATGTGAGCTGAAGGAAAAGAACTACGTTAATGTCATCTGACATTTTATTAATCAGGTGATTCTGAATCAAATTAGACTAAAGTTATACAGATAGTAATTAGCCTGACATCTCTTTAGCTTTTGTAGACAAACCCAGACTACAGAAAGTGAAAAAAGGAAAAATAATATACATTTTGACGACAAGATTAAGACCAAAGAAATTTCAGGCAGCCAAATGAAAACGTACTTGTACGCTGATTAAATCGTTTTAATTTTTAGATAATAAAAAAACAGGTTTGTTTTGCCTTATTCTGCTAAATGAGAGCTGGAAAATGAGTTGTTATCGACGTGCAGGCCTCGTTATGCGACTCTCGTCACACAGAAGCTGCAGGGAATGTTGAAGACGAGGGCTGTGTGTACATTTCATGATAGGTGAGCGGAGCGAGGCTGAGGGGAGCAGGGCAGGAATGAAAGAAACACCAGAGGGGGTGTTGTTATGTGCAGAGAAAAAAGCAACAAGGGAAGAAGTGGAGGAGGAGGCAGAGGGAGAGAGGTGTTATTTCCTCCGTTCTGCTCCATCCATCCTCACACATTCGATCACTGTTCTCTCTTACTCTCCTGGTATGAAAGATATTTCAGGCTTCCCCTCTTTGCTTCTGATGAACTCACATTTAATCTTATCTATGAATGTCATGCCTCTTTTTTTCTAAATCACCCGTGCAGGAGTCCAGTTTGTGCGACGCGTTATTCGGACATTTCAGTCAGGAACACTTTGTCCTGATTTACAGCTGTGATCGGCGCTGAAGGCTCAATTCTTTGGGTGTTCCCTGGATTAGCTAGCCGCGTGCTAAGATGTATTTGTCTTGATATTAATTCTGACTGTATCACTCAGCCCTACAACCTCTCTTTTCTTTTAAACAACAACTTTACAGCCTCTTGTCAGTAACCTAATTTAATGAGTCCTGTAATTTTGGAAGGCATTGTTTTATTAAATGTGAAGAAATGAACATGTTTTGACATTGACGATACTTTTTGTTTTGTTTGGCCATTAGTGAAATAATGGCAGGCAGCATTTTGACCTGTGATATTACATTATATTAAAACTTTGATATAATTAATTTACTTATAATATATTCATGTATTAGGCCCCCGAGGGGGAAGTTAAACACAATACTGACTTCCAGTATTCTAAAGTATAAATATGAGCCTGTTTTATTGTAGATGGAGCAACATTAGCTTTCTCTTGACATATATGTCACCATATATAAATCCACTCTCACACTGTCACACTGTCACACTGTCCTCATTAACTAACATCTACCTCTGTCAGTCGCTTGGTGCTGTGCAAATCACGTACAGTGAGTGTTATCAGAGCAGTAGTTAAGTTTCAGGCTATAAAAACATTTTACAAAATTCATCGTCAGTTATTTTCAGCCATAGGGCCTGAGCCTCCTATACATTTCTGCCTTCTTTTTTTTTTTTTAAATACATAAAACATTAATGTCGCCAAGAATCATGTCACCTTCCTGCCCTCAGGCTACTTTGGCTCAAATTGGTCCGGCAGAACTGGTGCCTTTGTTACCATGGATACAGCTGTGTTTACAGCTGATCAGGAAGACTGTGGGACATGGACATGACATTTCCAACACCGACCAATTAGAACATGCTAGTCTTTCTCCGAGCTGGGCTAAAGAGCTAAAATGCAGCGTTTCACACAGAGGGAGAAAAGAGAAGCTGCAGCAGTGACACAAATAATTAGTGTTATAGCATTAGTGTATAGAAATGGCCAAAATATGGGCCCTCCAATTTATTACAGATATTTCACTCTTGGTATTAAGTCCAGAATTGTTCATTTAATCTAATAAAACATTTTAATAACTTGAATTTATACAGCGCCATTCAAGAGACCCAGGGACATTTGGGACTATAAAGTCAAAATTACTTTAAAATCAAATGATGGTATAGAAAAGCGAGTGAGTGAATCAAATTTATCAAGTTCCATTCATCTTTTCAAACTAACATCTCATTCAAGACAGCGGCCCTGAGGACAGCAAACCCTTACATGCACACTGGTTAATGACGTCCCTCCACGCAGCGAATTTTCCATTAAGCACAAATGGTGCTTTCAGGGACACCTAACATGCAGCACACATACAGGAGCATGCTCCCGCCCCAGGCAGCTGATGCCACTGCATTTGTGCAGAGGAGACATTTTTCAAGGATGTTGTTTTGCCCCCAAACACAACATTCACAGTGTCTTCTGCAAAGTTTCCTTCACCTCCACTGGCCACTGTGTTGTTTCATATAGAATGTGGAGAAGGCCCTACAGACTGCTACTGTCTTTGTTGGAGACACTGCACATGTTGTTTTGGATCATATGCAACAATCACTGTGTCCTCTTTCAGTCTCTTACGTTTCAGGGGTTTCTCACAAATGGAAAGTTAGGGCCCAAGTTCATGTGATTGTTGACATTTGATCCGGTAAGTTTTGGGTTCAGATTGTAATTTAGGGAGCATACGTCCTGCCATCATCGCCTACATGATCTGCAGCCACCTATTAAATCTGCAATTGGCTGAATCCATCATCACTTGGATTTTATTTTATGTTGTTTTTACTCTTTTCTCATCTATTTTTATTTATTTATTTTTTGCTCTGTTGCTTTGTGGTCTTTCAGTTTCTTATTTATTATTTTTGACATGTAAACCACCTTGTTACTGTTCTTTGAAAGTGTTTTATTCTTATTCTTATGCAGGAGATACTTCAATGCTGACTTCCTCTGTAGTTTCCTGTTTGACCAAACCTGTTGAATCACTTTCACTTTACAGCAAGATCTGATGAAAAGGGGCAGAAGCCAAGTCAGAGCTAACATGGTTAGTTTTTGTAGAGAAGATTCCAGCTCACACACACACACACACACACACACACACACACACACACACAGCAGCCTACATACTGCAGAGAGAATGAAAGGTCTATTCACTGCTGTGTGACTCAAGCTAAGCAGGGTGGCTTGTGAATCTATACTTACACCAGCTGAAAGCTTTGTAACTGCAGCTGATGTGATTCTCTCTCTGTCTTCTCTGTGATTCTCCCTCTGCCGCTCCCTTTGTTTCACCTCGTCATTCTTTCCATCTCATACCTCCTCTGTCTCTCTTCTGCAGCTGTGAATTGTGATCCATGCATCCCTCCATCTGTCCGTGTCTCCACCCTTTTTTTCATTTTTATGCCTCTGTGCCGGAGGCATAAGGTTTTTCGGATTGTCCGTGAATGAGATATCTCAAGAATAACTTGTGGCAATTTTCTTCATATTGGTAGAAATATTCACTTGGACTCGAGCGTGATTGGTTAGATTTTGGTGGTCAGAGGTCAAGGTCACTGTGACCTCTCAAATCAAAGCCGAGGAGGGAGGCCCAAGATCAGAACCAGAACTCCGTGGAGGGATCTGATCTGGGAACGCCTCTGGATCTCCTGGGAAGAGCTGGAAAGTGTGGCAGGGGAGGTGGGGGGTGTCCGTAATACCTCACTTAGCCAGCTGTCTCTGTGACCTGAGCCTGGATAAGTGAAAGACATTAGCTGGACGGATGGACATGGTGACATTGAGTTGCCCTTCCACACATGCAGAGATTATTCGTAAGACACAATATCACTTACTGGAGATGGTTTTGATAAGGAGCACTGAGGGAGAACATGCAGGAGACCAGAGCCGGACAAAAGCTCCGCAGCAGAGAGGACGGAAACGTCACAAGAACATTGGACAATAATCTGCTCAATTTACATTTCACAGACTTTCTACCAGGGAGCTGGCAAGTTTAAGTCTGTTCATTGTCCGGTCATATTAACCATGACCAATACAATTTAACCCCGTGGCTTTCATCTGGACTTTCTTCACAGTCAATCTCATGCAGAAAGTAAGGATGTGCAGGTCGGGGTATTAGATGGAGGTGCAAGGTGTTATTTTCATCATATCAAATAAATATCAGTCCCCGAAACATGTCTTCTGATCAAGATCCAGGAATGAATCCACCTCTCTGTGTGGATCTGTGCCAACATTAAATGGCTTCCGTCTTGGCTCATGTCTCATCCTTCCACCAAGTTCCATGAACATCTGTCAAGTAGTTTCTGCATAATCCTGCAAAAAACATTATTTAAGAGATAATTATTAATGGCCATTCATTATATTCGGGATGAAGGAATAAGGTTGCATGTGACAAAGACAGTTTGACTCATAACACTCAGCGTTGTATGCAGCATGTTGCCAGGACGTACAGCACGTTATTGAATTTCTGTTATTGAATGATTTTTGTTAACCAGGCATATAATGTCTAACAGTACATGAGTGAATGATTAACTACAGACAAACCTTTTTCAATGTCACATATTTACAATCACAGTTCTGTTTGTCGCCGTCTGCAATTCCTTTTCTAAATCTGTTTCAGATTTGGTTGAAACCTGGAATCATGCTGTCGGTGGAATCATCTGTGTTTCTCTCCGTCTTTATCGTCAGTCTCCTTTTTTCACACTCAGAACTGATATTGATATTTCACTTCAATGGTAGAGTTGGACCCAGTGAGGCTGCTACGCCGAAAGAGACAGATCTCATTTACTGGAGGAGATGTGAAGATTTGGAAGGAATAGATGACAAAATGCAATTTAAATTGAACTGAATCCACTGTGTGTGTGTGTGTGT